TTTATATGTATAGGATTGGAGGAAGTATAATGGTAGAAAATGAAATACTGTAACTGTAGAAAATAGTATTCCCCTCGTCTTATACATAAGAACTATTTTATATGTTTATCAATTTTTTCTCAAATTAACTCTATTGATATTTCTTCAATAATAATCAAGTAGAGAAGAGAGAAACGGAATTAAGAAAGATGATTAAAATATTTTTTTTAAAAAATATATCATATTAACTAATTTAATTAACATACTTAATCTATTCAAATTAGTTAATTAGATATTATATTAATGATTAAAGAAGTACTACATACAGTACAGAAACAGCTTATGTGACCACTTTGAATGCTAGCTAATTATGAAATATACAGAAATCAAGAATAGCAAACAAAGAATATGATCCCACACTTAGGAGGATAGAAAAAATAACTCGAAGGGACTACACAACCAGAAAATAGTCCTGTATATGAATGGCACTATGAACATCCGACTAAATACCACTTATGCATTGAAATCCGAAAAGCGGTACTATGAACAATATACTCAAACCAAACACTTTGGAAGCTAAATATCAAATATAAACCAAGGTCAAGAAAAGCATACAGAGTACATGGTCTCACTTGGGAAGATGTATACACCGAAAAACATAAAAACAACAAAAAGGAAAATCTCAAACAAAGGGAGCAAAATAGGCTCACACGATGGTGCTGCCAAAAGCAATACAAAACCATAACCAGAATAATGAAAGGATGAAGAAGGAGAGTATTACAACTTTTTTAAGTTGCGTACGTTCTCTATCTACTCATCATCCTCTAACCTTGTTTAGTTTAATATACAGCTCTTAATTGTAGTTGGGACAGTTTGAGTAAGAAGATGGAGCCATTAACTTATCGATCATCCTCAACCTTCTTCCATTATTTCTCTTCTTTTTTGCTGACACAATCATTTGATAGAGAGAGAGAGAGAGATGAGAGGAAATTTCAAATTTTGTATGTGTTGTATTTGAGATGAGATGATGATAGTTAATTAGTGACTATCGATAGACACTTAATTATAGAAGAGAGGAAATTTGTGTTTTATAGATATTGGAATCACGTGGCAGTAATAAGAACCACCGCTTTCCCAAAGCAGATAAGCTTTTCATATACAAGCAAAAGCTCAAAAGCTGAAAACTGCATTGTCCACAATCGCCGGCCACGGAAGAATGATATCTCAAGATAATGGAAGAGTTTTCAGGCCAAAAAAAACAAGATAATGAAAGAGTTTTCTCAATTTTAAAAAAATCTCTCCAGTGGTGATTTGAGGATGGATGAGGATTATTACATGCATGCTTTTGATCTCGCATCATCTTAAATTTTAATATAAATACTTTATATGTCACCTTCTTACTAGGCCTGCACATGGGACGGGACGGGACGGGACCGGGACAACCCCGTCCCGGTTGCGTCCCGGTCCCGACCGGGACCGAGACTCAACCGGGACGGGACAGGACGTCCCGCATCAGGAAGGCATTGTGGATAGGCTTCAAATTGGGCTACACCAATGGGTTTATGGTTACAATGACTTGGCCCAACACCTTTATTTCCTGCTAGTACCTAATGGGAATAAATTGGGCTGAACTAAATCCATTGGGCCTATGAATTTTTTGTTCAAAGCCATAGACCCTCCAAACACTTGAAACACACGAATTACACTTCAAGAGAAGGCAGGGCCGCAGGGAATTGGGGAAATACACAGACTACCTGATTAACTAACCGAAAAAAAACCACCTGAAGCAAATTTACAGCTTCAAAACACATAATAACAACAGGGAATTGGGAAAATACACAGACCACCTGATTAACTAACCGAAAAAAAACCACCTAAAGCAAATGTACAGCTTCAAAACACATAATAACAGCAGGGAATTGGGGAAATACACAGACCACCTGATTAACTAACCGAAAAAAAACCACCTGAAGCAAATGTACAGCTTCAAAACACATAATAACAACAGGGAATTGGGAAAATACACAGACCACCTGATTAACTAACCGAAAAAAAAACCACCTGAAGCAAATGTACAGCTTCAAAACACATAATAACAACAGGGAATTGGGGAAATACACAGACCACCTGATTAACTAACCGAAAAAAAACCACCTGAAGCAAATTTATAGCTTCAAAACACATAATAACAAGTTAACAACCACATGAAGCAAAATATAACTCAATCTAACTAATATCCATGAAGGCTACAACAATCATTTAAATATAGAAGAAGTTCAAGGATTAATCAAAGACAAAGGCTGAAATAATTTGAACACAAGTTGTTTAGTTGTCCAGCATCCATTCCAGCCAAATCAAAATACATAGATAGGCTCATACGTTTAAACTTAAAGTCTTAAACAACAACACAAAATCACAGCTACAGAAATCCAACTCAACAGTCAACATGAACACAAAGATAGAAATACAACAACACAAATTCAGAAGCACAACAAATCAGCAATAGTCAACATTTAGTCATCCACTATTTCTTTGGCTCTTGCTCTTGGTCAATTAAATTTGATGCTACTTCTTCATCTGCAAAGAAAGAAAAGAACAGGAAAAAGACAATTATTTTTAAGAATAAAATAAATTTGATGTTATAAAATAAATAATATGATCATAATTCATTTACCATGTATCACATCATCAGTGTCATTAAAGTCATCAGTGTCAAGTCCTTTTAGCTTGGATGTAGATGGAGATAGCCAATTTTATGCACAAATAAGCGCCTCAACCATCTTAGGGGATAATGAGCTTCTAAAATCATCAATAATACGACCTCCTGTGCTAAATGCTGATTCTGAAGACACAGTGGAGATAGGCATCGCTAATACATCACTAGCAATCAATGAAAGGACTCTATACTTGCTAGCATTAACTTTCCACCAACCCAGAATATCAAATGCAGGATCACGAGCTTCAGCTAACTCAGCATGAAGATACTTCTCCACCTCAGCATACTTATCTGTTTGAAGCTCAATCTCAGTTTGTGCAAGGAACCTTTCCATTGCAGTGAAAGCATCATCTCCATCCATATCCAAGGATTCTACATTATTCAAGTCTGTGATATTGCTAGAAGCCATTTGTGATTGAGTTTCAGTCTGAATTTCAGCCTGAGATGTGCCAAGCACCCTTGAATAATGGTCATACAGGCGATACAAGACATCTGAAACTTTCTTTGTCATCTCTTCACGATGTGCAAGATCATTATACATATCCTCAAAAGCAAATTTAAAAATTTCATCTTATACCTTGGGTCAAGAACCACTGCTATCACCAACAAAGGATTAAAGTTGTCAAACTTCCCCCAATACTTGTCATACTTGATCTGCATATTCTTAGCCATGGAAGACAACAAAGAACTTTGATTATTTGCCCTTCTATTCAAAATGGCAGCCACATTAACTATTTGTTGGAAGGCTATATTTGATGTCACATAAAGTGATCCTGAAAATTTCAGAGTGACATTGTAGAACACCTTAAAAAATGCAACAAACTCCCTAGCCACTTGAAAATCTACTGCATTAGGAGGACCAACTAAGCTCTTTTCTAAAAATGATTTTTTGTACTCCACATCAGTTTGCTCCATCCTATCAAACACGCTACCAAATTTAATGGCATTCTCCAACATTATATAGGTTGAATTCCACCTAGTTGGACAATCCATGCTCAAGAGATTCTTTGAATCAATTTTCATTTTTTCCACAAGCTCCTTGAATTTTCGAAACCTTGATGGAGAAGATCTTACATATTTAATGGCATTCCTAATGGCATCAATAGAGTGATGCATGTCCTTCACACCATCAGAAACAATCAAATTTAATATATGTGCACAGCATCGTATGTGCATGAACTCCCCATCACAAACTAGACCATTCCAATGTTTGAAAACCGCCTTCAAAGTTGATAATGCACTATCATTTGAAGAAGCATTATCAACGGTGATAGTGAATACCTTGTCAATGTTCCATGACAATAAGCATTTCTCTATTTCTTCTGCAATTGTATCACCCTTATGGTTTTCAACTACTGAAAAATTCAAGAGTCGCTTCTGTAATTGCCAATCTTCATCAATCCAATGAGCAGTTAAGGACATATAATTGGCATTTTGATTGGAAGTCCATGTATCCATAGTGAGGGAAACACGAACTTTTGCCTTTTTAAAATAACTTCTCAACTTTCCAGCTTCTTCAAGATACAACTTGTAGTAGTCTCTGGTAGTAGTCATTCTAGAGGGAACTTGAAATCGGGGTTCTATGTCATTCATCATTTGTTTAAAACCCTCGCTTTCCACAATCCGAAAAGGCAGTTCCTCCAATATAATAAATTTTGCAACAGCTCTTCTGCACCGCTCTTGAGTAAATAAATGATGTGTCACTGATTTAGAGGAGGACCCTAGTTGAGAGGCTGTAAACAATGATTGTGTCATCTTGTTGGCTTTGTTTGGATTTTTGGGACACCTCCTTGCATGCTTTCGCAATCCATTTGTCCCATGTCTAGTAGGATGACAAGCAATTGTAGCTGGGCAATACTTGCACTTAGCTCGATGTTCTCCCTTAGTTTGGTCCAAAGGAAGCTTGTCAAAATGCAGCCATACATTAGATGTTTTCCTTCTTTTTGTTGGTATCTCTTCTCCCTCAATATTTGAGGCATTTGGGGCCTCTGTTTGTGTTGCTTCTTCATTAGACATTGATACTGAATCATTGCTTTCAGTTTCAAAATCTCCTTCAACATTTCCAATGTTTTTTTCAGTAGCGGGTGTAGTGCCAATAGGGGCCATTTCGGTCTTCCTAAGCAGATTAAGCAGCATTGAACAAATTAAACACATTAAGCAGCATCAAAGTATTTCAAATGACTTGAACATATCAAAGACCCAATTTTCAAACACAGAGAACCCAATTTTCAGTTTTTAAGCACAGACCCAATCAAAGAACGCCTACTAAATTTCAGAATCAAGATTTTTATCATTTTCAGAACTCCTACTGGTTTAAATGTAAAGTCAAGGAACAAAGAAGCAGCACGATAAAGGGGATTGGGGCTTGGAGACGGGCAGACAGTAATAGGGCAAGCATCAAAGCAGTCAAGCAGGTGGGATCGGGGATGACGAACGGATGGAGAACAAAGTTACTTACCTGGTCCTGCTGGTTGCTTACAGAGAGTGATCGACGGAGCAAGCGAGTGAAGTGACGGCGGAACCTGCGACCCGCGAGCCTGCGATTGATCAACGGTGGCACCGAGCAAGAGGCTAAAAGCTCAGATTCAAAAGCTGAGACCGACAGCGAGAGGCAAAAAGCTCAGATTCAGAAGCCGAGACGAGAGAGAGAGAGAGAGAGAGAGAGAGGCGAGAAGCTCAGATTCACCGATTCAAAAGCCGGTGAACAACAGTGAGCAACAGTGACTCGATGAGGAGCAACGGTGAACCAGTGAGGGTGAGCGACGGTGAGCAACAGTGACTCGATGATGAGCGACGGTGAGCGATGGTGAATGAGCGACCTCTGACACTGTGAGTCTGTGAGCGATGATGAAGGCGCAACCGTGGAGATCTCAGCTTGGACGCTGAAGGAGGAGGAAATGAGGAATTGGAACACTGAACAAGTGAACAGTGAACACTAACACTCTAACACGACTAACAGGACTCGGGGTCGGGGTCTCACTCTCGGTCTCGGTAATTAGACAATCATAATAACAAAAAAAATATTAAAAAAATTAAAAAAAAAGGGGACGGGACGGGACGTCCTGAAAGCTAGCTCGAGTCCCGTCCCGTCCCGGGACTTTTACTGTCCCGGTCCCGGTGGTGTCCCGTCCCGGCCTCACTCGGGACGGGACAGTCCTGTCCCTAAACCTCCGAGACGGGTACGGGACAGCCGGGACGGGTTCACACTTGAGCACCCCTACTTCTTACTCCTCCTATCCTTAATATGGGAGCTAGTTAGGGAGTTGATATTGGTCTTATATGTAAAATTTATTTCTTACATTTATCAATATTTTTTCAAATTAGCCCTATTAATATTTTCCCAACAATAATCAAGTAGGGAAGAGAGTGAGAGAATTAAAAAAGATACTTAAGATATTTTAACTAATATTTTTAATCTACTCAAATTAGTTAACTAGATTTTATATTAAAAACTAGAGGAGTATTTATTGATACTTGCATTGATCCCCCATTATATAATTATTTTTTAGCTTCTCTTAATCTCCTAATTGCTTAAGGATTTAAAAACGGGACTTGATGCGCTTATAATTTTTTTCACCTTTTTTTAAATTAAATACATAAAATTTATTATTTGTTATTATACTATCTCTGGTTCTTAATACAAGAATTACTTAACTAATTTGGATATATTAAAAAAATTAGTTTAGTTAATTATTTGTAACAAATATGAGTTGACTTAATCATGATTGCTTTTAAAAGGAAGCAACTTAATATATGTAATAATTAGAATACTTTAGATAATGAATTATAAATTTAAAAGAACAAGTGTCTTAAAATTTTATATTTAAGATCAAATTTAAATTTTAACTAATTAACTCTTATATTAATAATGGACGGTCAAAAGGCAAAGCTCAAGAAAATAATGATAAACATTGCTTTCACACTATAAATAATAGAGTCCTAGGTATAAAAGCTGGGACCAATAACGAATCGGGCCTTCTGACCAAAGGTAAGTTCCATTCCCCCCCCCCCCCCACCCTTTTTTTTTCCTTTTTTATATCAAAAATCAAAGGTATGTCGGCTTAATTTGTCTCAGTTATAGGAGAGGGCACGTGAGTCATACCACTTTTGGAAGAAAGAAAGAAAAGGAAAAAATATTTACAAGTTCACTGGCCACTGCCAACATTTTCAACTATCAATTTTCTAAAGGTTATTTTGGTCAAGACATTTTTTACGAGGAAAATGACCGAGGCCTTCGACAGTAATTTAAAAAATTCGGGCTCCCTTTATATGAGTAGTTTCATTATGCGTGCCTGCTACTGCTCATCCAACTATTTTTTATTTTAATTTCTTCGGTATAATTAGTTAACAAAATTTGGTTGCTTTACTTTACTAGGCAAAATAATACCCCAGTTTATAGTTTAACTTAAATTACAAATGAGATCATGTATTAAGAACAAAAAATAATACTTAACAACGTTTTGTGTCCCTAATGATCAAATTAATAACATTGTTGCCAAACACTACATTTGTGTTCAGTCCTTGGACCTTGATGAATATTTCTTACTTCCATAGGAAAAATCTATTGGCGATAATTAAGCACAGTGCAAGTATAAGAAAAAGAGTTAATCAAGCGCATGTAGTATATAGTCAAAGAGAAAATTAGGTACTTTATTAAATATAAAATATAAATAATACTTTATCCCTTTCGTCAATTAATTAATTTATTCTACGTTATTATAATTTTTGTTGGTGATTGAGTACTGATCATAACCTCCAATTCAAATAATTCGTTATTAATTTAGATTTCAAATTAAAATTATTATGTGCCTAGCTATATAGCCTAGAATACGACAAACTTAAACAGAACCAATTAATGCTATATTATATATACACAAAAAGGGACGCATGATGGATGGATTACGCTAGACCAAGGCTCAATCTGAAATCTAGTTTAATTTATTGATTGGGTTGGATTTGGTGGTCTATGGTCTGGTTTAGTCCATTAGTGACTCGAGATTGGACTGAACTAGATATAGCCTACTGAATTACTTGGACTAATCCAGGTAATCTAGAACCTCAATTTTTTTAAAATTTTTTTGTTTATGAAATCAAGATTTCATATTAATAAACACAATTAGCACAATAAAAAAACTATAATCATATAAAAATCATTTCAAAACATTAAGATTTAATCATAAATCCATAAGAATTTCTAACAATATTAAATAACAACAAAAACAACATTTTAAATTACTAAATATTTTTTTAGACCAAACTAGACTAGTGCAAGTGGTCTAACTACTCAGTCTTGAACCTAGTTTAGCCCGACTAGCTAGACTGGTCCAATATAGTCTGTTTTTGTCATATTGTTTATTTGGATTAAACCGAAATAAACTGAACCACCTCGAATTAGATTGGACTAAATCAGGCCATCAGGTTTTTACATAGCTCTTGTACACACCTAAGAAATGAGTACAAGTAATTTTGCAAGTGGCTATCACGATATGATCACACTTGGACACCTAAGGCTCCCATTAGTGCCTAGATAATAATGATGCTCGTCACTATGAGAAACTAGATATATACACTTTTTCTTGCAGACAATGATGTGCACTTAGCTCAATAATTCAATCGCAAGTATAGGCACACGCAAACAACAGTTCATCTACTGAGAATTTTTGGGCACCAGATTATTCCAACATAGAGGTTTGTGCAATTGACTTCCTGCGCGCTGAAACCTGAAAGAAAGAACCCACTTCAAATGTTCCATATCTTTGGACACCAACGTGGTCCTGAAGTGGCTGAGAATGTGTGATAAAATGTTACTTCCGTTTCTCGATACAAGATCTTGTTTGATTTTTATTTTAATTCTAAATATAAAACCCAATCTACTTTGTCTTTCATATTTATCTTTTTTTTTTAAGATAGTCATTTAATAATGGTAGTTCTAGATAACAAATTTGATTAGAAAAGATATTTTAGAAAAAACAATACATATTCAATACAAATAACTAACTTAACTGAGTTCTTTAATCTTCCCAAATTGGTCAATTGGGTCTTATAATTAGGACCGGAGGTAGTATTATTTTATATTTAGTACTTCCAGCCACTAAGGAAACACATTCGCAGTGGATTAGAAGTTTGTGAGTACGAATATATCATGCATTGTATTACGTTCGCGAGTCGTATGATTAAGATGTATAGTTGCAATCAGAATAAAAGGTGAAAATAATATTAACGTAGTACTAGTCAGAGATGAAAATCATCTCCGCAACAACCATCAATTCATAAAAACAGAAAGATAATACACTTTTATTCCTCCTGATTAACTTTCCCAAGCAAAAATCTATAATGACATGATGAATCTCCAACCTTAAAACATGTCATAATTACTTTACCCGCTTAGCAAAAGCACCATAGTTAGTTAGTTTTTCCTTACCTTTCTTTCGACTCATTTTTTTTTTTCAGTACAATATGGTTAGTGCTGAATAAAACTAGGATCGCCGAATATGAGAGCTAGAAATGGAAGCCGCAACAACAGCAGTAGTTGCAGCTGCTTCATCTGTTGAAGAACATATGCAGACACAATAAAACAATCAATGCCTTATGATTCATGAGAGTTACATATAGTTTAATAGCAATGTGCTATCTCCTGTTCTAAATTTAAGATCTAGCTTGTAGTTTAAGAAATGATTACTATTTTGCTACTTTATCTTTCTTTTCTTTTACTGACTTCTCAATATTGTGATTTTCTATAAGCAAACACAAAATATCCATCTTTGTGCTTTACAGTTTTTAACTATATTTATACTGGTGGCTCAAAGAAAACTTTAATCTTTAAGGGTGAAGGTCGAGGAAGAAGAACAACCTAATGGAATTAATTGATGGTTGTTGGGGAGATGCTTTAAATTTATGACTAGTACTGTGGTTGTATTGTGTTGCTTTCTTTCTGACATTCGACTGCAACTCGATACGCCAGACATGGCCTTAATAATTGTGATGCTAAGCACTGAAAATTCTTTTCTTGATCTCAGTCTCTTATGCAGGTCGAGTAATTCATTATTCTTGCAGATGTAGGTTAAGTAAATACATATAATGTCCTAAATGTAGCGCTTTGCAAGATGGGTAATTTTTTTTTTTTTTGAAGTTGTAATATCCCAAATTTTATGGATTTGAGTAAAGCATGATGAAGGAGAAATTTTTAGAGAAATTATTGGGATTAAGACCTTTCAAATATGGTCTGAATAATTATAAAGTTAATTTCAGGAATTTAGGACCTATTTTCTTGGAAAATTCAAGGAAAAATAGTTAGAGGATAATTTTTGAGTTGAGATTTTTAGAATAATTATTTCATAGACTAAAGAAGTTAATGGAAGAAGAAAATTTATATAAAATATCCAGGTTTGATTTCTGGAATTATTTGATTATCCAAAAAAAAAAAGTAGAGAAAGATCAAATTGAAGGGAAAATGAAGACCAAAGGGCAGAATGGTCATTTCACATCCCTCAGCCATCTAGTATGCCCTAACGCCTCCTCCCTTCTCATTTTGCTCTGCTATTCGAAGGGAAAATAGAGAGAGAGTTGAGAGACTTCGAGAGAGATTAAGAAGAGCAAATGCAATCAGAGGAGGGAATCGATTTATACCAAAGTGGAAATCAAACAAGGTGAGTCTCCTAAATCTTCTTCCATCTTTGTTTTCTGTTATTTGGTCATGTGTTGCAAGGTGATTATGAAGATGAAATCTGGTTTTTGAGGGAGAAAGTGAAGAGTATGACAGCCAAGCTATAGAAATCGTCCTTAATGGTTAGGATGAAGTTTGTGGTTGAGATTTCTGCACTTGCTTTTTACGATTGATTGCTCTGGTTATAGTTTCTGAAACAGGGGTTTGAGGATTTAAGGAAATGGATTCTGGTTTGGGTAATGGATGATTAACGAGTGTAAATATAACTAATTATTTTCTGGCTATATGATTATAATATGTTGATTTTATATGCTCTGTGTAGTTATTGAGGGATTGGAGAGGGTGTGTTTTGAATAAGGAGAATTCCAGACTTAATGATGGAAGGATGCTGTTCGATTTTGCTGGTCAAGAAGCATTTGAATGCTAAACGCATGAGCTATATATATATATATATATATATATATATATATATATAACAAAGCCTTTTGAGACCGGAGCATTGGGAGAAAGAATTGGGCTCTTTATATATTCTTTTGGTTTTGGCTCCACATTCTGAATTATAGTAGTGAACAGATTTTCTTGGAGTTAAAATGGAAAAGTAATGCCAAAATCTAGAATTTTCATAAGCGAAGGAAATTCTTGAGATTGGGAACTAACTAAAGCATGATATGTATGTATATGTTTGGTGTTTATCTCAGCAACGTTGATGTTATGACTTGAGGGATGAAACTAAATCCCATGGTATTAATTATGTATACCTGATTGATAGAGCAATCTGGAATTTTTCAAGGAATGGTGTAGAGGGTGAAAATATATATATATATATATATATATATAATGAGGAATAAAAATAATGTTTTAGTTGAAGGTTGATGCTGGAAAAATTTAGAAACAGTGGCAGAATGGTGTTGTTCGAATTATAGCAGGTGTTTGGGGTGTCTAAATGCAAAATGTTTAAATAGGAAGTTTATAGGCTTATATAAATGTTATATTATAGATATGTATGTCAAATAGGAGTCTTAAGAGGATGGAAGTTAAATGTGATGCCCCGTTAAAATGATCATAAAGGATTTAAATTATAAGGAATGTGTTAATGTGTTAATGTAACGTTCTAGATGACTATCTAGATATATATATTAATATGCCCTTGCTCAAATAATTTATAAGATTTGATATTTGTTCGAATCTATTAAGAAAGAAGCCAAGAAGGAGACAAGGGGAAGGGAGTACGGAAGAAAAGCAAAAGATAGTAACTCTTTTCTTTTGATGGATTGTGCATTGATTGCCACATGCTTGGATGTGCCTTTATGCTGATTGTGCATGAGAACATGTAAGTTGCCTTTGCATGATAATAATTGTCATGACAATATGTGCTAGTTTCCATTTATTTTGGAATGTGGGCGCAATAGATAGCGATTGGCTATATGGGTGTATGGTGTGTGTGCATCATTGATTATATTTGGATGCAAGGTGTTGTTCTCTTTTGCCTGTGTAGCATGTTGTTTGTGATTTTGTATGATTACGTGAAGGAAATTTGTTACTACTGAGATTCTTTAGAATCTCACCCTTTCTTCCATGTAATACAGTAAGAGCAAGTACTCCTAAGGGTAAGGGAGTAGTGATCGGTGGAGTTTAAAGGTGCAGGAAACTAGCGATCTTTTGTGTATATATATATTTTGTTTAAAATGCATCTTATTTTGAAGTGAAGATATATTGTATATCTATTTTGATATGTAAATATTCCTCTATAAGGAGGTGGCTAAGGGCAGATAAATCATGATAACTACTATTGAAGGAAATGATCAATATTTTGATATCTAGTTATTATTTTGTCTAAAATTATGTGTATCTGTATATATAACTTTTTGTATGAGCCTATGGCCAGAATATTGAATGTTAGATCCTACTGGCTATAATTGATTTGATATAGGATCCAAAAGGCTGGATGGAAAAAGAATGGATTCAATGGTTGAATATGAACCATTGGTCTTAGTCGGTTTTTACCGTTTTTGTAAAAGAGTTAAATCGAGTACTTAAACCACTAGACAGGTTACTTTAAAAGTGAATTTTTGAAAAGTCTAAAACTTTTCAGAAAATCCCATTCCTTGAACAGGATCAAACTTTGTGCTTGGGAACTGTAAAAAAAAAAAAAATGTCTTCCCCAGGATTGGAACCTGGCTTTTAATGATTCAAAATTAAATGAAATAACTCTATTGATGTATAAAGGATAATCGTGACAGAAGTGTTATTGGATACTAAATGAAAATTTTAATTTTTAATTCATCATATTGTGATAAACTGATTTCTTTTATTAGAGCCAACTTCTGTTGGTAAATCCTTGTCTTTTTTTCCCCCTGCAACTAAATGATTTATTGCTCCCGCATCCTTCAGCCCAGTTCACTGCGTTCCAATTTTTGGGTGATTTGGGCAAAAATTCTATTAAGCACTGCCATATTGTTCTCACCCGGAGCAGAGTTTCCATCTGGGCCGCATCGATTATGAATTCTCCAAAACAAGTGCCACTCCATGTAGACTCTATTGGGTTTTGGCGATATATATACTAACGATCATTGCGGAGAGTGAAGTGTGAAGTCAACGAAACAAGGGCCGCCCCAATTGCTGCATGATGCAAAACGCTGATTAAGACCGGTATTAAAGGTGTTCATGATTTAAATATGGCATAGTTAATATAAGAGTTATTACTCTAGTTTTATTTATAGGATAAAGGAAGAAGATATTTTTTGGTCCTATTTATAGGACACTGAGAGAAATTTTTTGTATGGATATACAATTTTACCCTTCATTTATTATTATGTTGACTTTGTTTACATGAGTTGTAATGCATACTCTTCTGATCCTATTTATAAGGTACTTCCAACATGTTTTACATAGATAAAAAAAACCTTAAACTGTATTAACTCTTCATTAAAATATAGTAACTTTTCAACTTTACCCTTATTTAATATATACATCTTTCAAAAAACATAAATATCTACATTATAATAAATGAAGGACAATAGTATATTCATGGTAAAAAATTAATGAAGTGACTTATAAATAGGATTAAAAAAAACTTTCTCTCCGCCCTATAAATAAGACTAGAGGAGTATTTAATAAGGATAAAGTTGAAAAATTGTTGAATTTTAAATGAAAGTTAATGAAATTTAAGATTTTTCTTAGTTTGTGTGAAACATGTTAGAAGTGAATTATAATGAGAGTAGATAACTAATTTGTGAAGAAAATTAGCTGAGTTAGTTATTTGTAATAAATGTATGTTTTCTTTCTTAAAATACTCTTGTAATCATATGCATTGGACTTATCTTTAATAGAAACTCATAAAATGTTTAATTACCATAGGAATTACTTGGAGGCAAAATGGATAAACATTAGAGATAAAATAGATTGGAGTCTAATATTCAAAACCAAAATGAATCTCCAACTAGCTTTTATACTAAGAATTAAAGGTTGTATAATTTAAAAGTATCAAAATCTGGATATGCCAATTCGTCTTGTGCAGACAAAGAGGCGATCCTACCATACACTACTTTTTATCCTTTCATTATGAAAGACCAACATGTCCAAGAGCTAACAGAGTTGAAAATTAAGCATTATGATAGACACCCTCTACAAAGGTTATTACCTGGATCACACGGGTCCCAAATATTGCTATAAATTTATAAATATTTCATGCAAACAAAACAATACTTTTATCTAGGTATTAACTGGGTGATAGAAATTTCATTTATTGATGCTGAATCATGATTGCCATGTTTTTTGTATGGAAATGTTTCTAAGAGGAAACCAGGTTCTTTAGGTTGAGGCAAATCTCCCTCACTGCTTAACATTACAACCACAGACGCCATGTTTGGTCTATCATCAGGATGATTTTGCACACAAAGAAGACCGATATGGATGCATCTCAATACTTCTGATACATTATAAGGTTCTTCCATATGTGGATCAATCAATTCAAGTGGGATTCCCTCCTTCCACAACCTCCATGCCTACAGAAATTCAAACATACATAATCTATCATTTTTCTATATATGGCTCGTGAAAGATAACAGAAAAAAGTGTAAGTGAGGTTTGTCACTAACAAGCCCAATAAGGTTGACATTCTTGTTTGCCAAGGAGAATGCTCCATTTTTCTTTCCACTCACTATCTCAAGCAATAAAATTCCAAAGCTGAAGACGTCAGATTTCATGGAGAATGACCCATAAATTGCATATTCAGGTGCCATATAACCACTTGAAAAAGAAAAAGTAATCATCAATGACTTCATATATCATTTTTAAACATGTGTATAAATACAAATAAAAAAAAGTAATGAAGATGTATACTCACTATGTACCGATAACTCTCCTTGTATTTTCTACATTTTCATCTTTTCCAAATGTTTTTGCCAAGCCAAAATCTGATATTTTCGGATTCAAATCATTGTCTAGTAATATATTACTTGCTTTGAGATCTCTGTGAATGATTCTTAATCTTGAATCTTGATGAAGATATGTAAGTCCTCGGGCAATTCCACATAGAATGTTGAAGCGCTTGAACCAACATAAGAGTTTCCTTTGGGTAGGAGAACCTGTAAAGTTTCAAAAGTAGACAAATTAGTTGTTATCAGACTTGAATTTAAAACCCATTGATATTCAGTTGTCAAGACACGAACCAAAAATAAATGAATCTAAACTCTTATTTGACATGTATTCGTAAATGAGCATTTTCTCCTCTCCTCCAATGCAGCAACCAAGAACTTTAGCAAGATTTCGATGCTGAAGTTTGGCACACAACATAACTTCATTCTTGAATTCCCTCATTCCCTGGTGAGAATTTTGTGAAAGTCGCTTCACAGCAATCTCTTGTCCACCACCTAATGTTCCCTAACCATTAAAAGTATTGTCATCGACATCATAAATCAACAGAATGAAACTATACTTGCTTCACAATCTTATTTGTTGATTTTGTGAGTTACCTTATATACGGGTCCAAAACCACCTTGGCCAAGCTTATTTTCATCTGAGAAGTTCTGGGTAGCACTAGCTATTATAGCAAAGTCATAGAGAGGAAGGTCCATATCTCCTTCTGGGACTTCATCAGTATTTTCTATGGACAAAGATTTCCTCAATTAATTGAGAAAATATTTTCACTCAAGCAAACTAAAAGACAGAAAGTTATACCTGTTAAAGAGCAACTAAAAAAAGAAAGCCAACCAAACCTGAGAAATGCTTACCTTTGGATTTTCTTCTGCTCTTATAAATATAGAGGGAGGTCAAAAGCATCCAAAGTGCAAAAACAGTAGCCGTTATCGCAGCTACTTTAATCTTGTATGAATTAGAACCTTCATGTTTGGCTTTAATTCGCGCGCAGAAATGAACAAATAGTTAGTGAGGTAACTAATTGAACGCTTTAAAAAATGAATAGATAACATTAAATGGAATATACCTATATCTGTAGAAGCAAGGCGAATATATAGATCTTGGCCAGCATCATTTGACATTTGATTCAAATCAAGTAGATCACCAAACCACATGACACAGCCACTTCCTCCTCCGCTAATATCTGAAAAAGAATAAGCAGTGCAAGAACAATTTTCCCAACATTTGGCTTTGCACTCGTCAAGTGTCATACTTGCATTGACCCAAGTATATGTAGTATCTGGTAATTTAAGGTTACTATATTTAACAAAATTGTCTTTGCCTTTAACTTTACAACTCCAAGGTTTACTGCGAACACACCCTCCTGTCCAGTCATACATGTCCCAATTCTTAGGTGATTTTGGCTCAAATCCTTTCAAGCATTGGCATAAGGTTGAGTCAACAATGGCACAAATTCCAAAAGCACCACAAAGATTATATCTTCCACAATTGTCTCTTGGAACATCGCCAAAAGACTTCCAAGTTTGATCCTCTTCAACCCACATGAGATTTTGCAGAGAGTTTCTTGTCTGGTTCAAGACTCTGATAGAGACCATTGACTCATTTAAGGGAACATACATGTAGTACACCTCATCCTTGTTAGACACAAGCGTTGCATTATAAAGCAACATCTTATTTGATGAAGGAGTATCAACAAAATGATCACCATTCCAAGGGCCACTCCTGTAATATTTTGTCCGACCTTGCCAAGTATATATTTCTGGATAACTGTGAAGCATGAGCTCACATGTGAAATCTCCTGGAGAAGGGTCATCCCAATTCTTCCATGCTACTAAACGCCGGTTCAGACCCGTTCTCAAGTCCCATCCAAGCTTCATTCCTGGTAAAAATACGTTAGAGTAATGGTCGAAGCTTTGCCACAAGTAGTTTTGTGGATTCTGGTCTTTGTCGTCTCTTAGTACCAAGTTTCCAGAGTCTAAAAGCTGAACAATAGGACTCATCAACGCCTTTGTTGTCGTCGTCGAGTTTGCAACCCAAAGAAGAGTCTCATTTTGGCTGAGAACAACAAGATGTCCCTCTTTGTTTATGCTCATCATGCCAAGCCTGTCTTTGGCTGGTTTTTCGCGGTTGGCAACCCAAAGGATATATCTAACTGGAACATTCTTGTACCAGAGTCCAACGTAGCGGTTTGTGGAACTACCTGGGCTGAAAAATCCCAGTTCAAATCTTCCATCTTTAGATACCAAGGTGGATTTTCCATCATCAACCAGAGGCTGAGACTGCGTAATAGTATCGGTGGTTGCCGTGGCCAATAATGATGGCGAGAAGAATAAAAGCTTACTGAAAAATAGAAGTAGCAAACAATAATGAAGGATTGCCATTATTAGAAATAATATTATGTTGGAGCTGCACGCATGATCAAGCAAAGTCGGAAGAAGAAGCACGATGATTGGTGACTTGGTCGCACGTTTGATCCTTGAAAAATCATAGTTTAGACATGTCAGGCAGCGAACTTGTAACTGGGCAACAAGATGAAAATGCACGAGAGGGAGTGATGTGCGTGTTTTTGTAATTAATTTCATGTGTTGAGGGCAATACATTATTCCAAGTCCAAATACCTTTGAAAATTAATTGTCATGATAGAAAATAGAAAGCAAGTTTATTATAGAGACAAGAAAGCATTTGGATCAGCCCACCAAATACTACTCCGCTCAATACTATGTACATAAGAGACTAACTGCTCATATCTATCTTATTTATTAAAGGTTTCTCCTTATGCTCTTTATTATAAATATTAATTGCCTTTATAAGTTATTAAATATTTGGTAAAAGTTCAAAATTAATTGGGTTTTTTAATTAAAAAAAAAACACATTGACGTACTTATGAAAAGTAAATACTTTCATGCAACTATTTTTTTTTAAAATTTTTGTAGCTTAGTCGTTTGTTTTAGGAAAAATAACATAAAAAGAAGTTGAAAATTGTTATATTTCAATTCAGACACCTAAGAAGTCAATCTCATGAAAAGAAGTGATCGATAATTGATTTGGTATTTTGTAAATATAGTTAAATGACAAAAATGTTCTTGCATCAAAAAATTTATTAACAAGATGTAAACTGACAATAATAAATATTAAACAGCAAATGACAAAAAATATACTGACAATGACAAGTTATTTATTAATAAGTTGTAAACTAATAATAACGAATGTTTATCAACCAATAACAAGAAATGTATTGGTAATGGCAAATTTGATAGCTTTTTTTTTAAAAAAAAAAATTGGCACAAGCGCATTTTAGTCATTTTACTTCATTTGCAAAATATCATATCAGGCACTACTTCCTTTTCTGGGATTTTGACCTCTTAGGTGTTTGAATTGGAATATTATAATTTTCAATTTTTTTGGTGTCATTTTCCCTTTGTTTTATATGTATCGGGTTGAAGGAAGTACAATAGTAGAAAATAAAATAGTGCAAGTATAGAAAATAGTACTCCGCTGGTCCTATATATAAAACCTATTTTACATGTTTATTAATTTTTTTCAAATTAACTCTATTGATATTTTTTTAACAATAATCAAATAGGGAAAAGAGAAGGGGAATTAAGGAAGATCATAAAGTATTTTTAGAAAAAACATATCATATTAACTAATTTAACTAATATATTTAATTTACTTAAATTAGTTAATTAGAAAATATATTAAGGATCAGGGAAGTACTACACAAACAGCTTTTGTCACCACTTTGAATGCTAGCTAATTATGAAACGTACAGAAATCAAGAATAGCAAATAAACAATATGATCCCATACTTAGGAGGATAGAAAAAATAACTCGAAGGGACTGCACAGCCAGAAAATAGTCCTACATATGAATGACACTATGAACATCCGACTAAATACTATGATGCAACATATGCATTGTAATCCGAAAAGTGATACTATGAACAATATACTCAAACAAACCACTTTGGATGCTAAATACCAAATATAAACCAGGGTCAAGAAAAGCATACAGAATACATGATCTCACTTGGGAAGATACAAACACCGAAAAACATAAAACAACAAAAAGGAAAATCTCAAACAAAGGGAACACAATAGGCTCACACGATGGTGCTCTCAAAAGCAATGGAAAACCATAACCAGAATAATGAAAGGATGAAGAAGAAGAGTATTACAAGTTTTTTAAGTTGCGTTCTCTATCTACTCATCATCTTCTAACCTTGTTTAGTTTAATACACAGCTCTTCATTCTAGCCGTTGTAACACTTTCGAGTAAGAAGATGAAGCCATTAACTCATCGATCATCCTCAACCTTCTTCCATTATTTCTCTTCTTTTTCGCTGACACAATCATGTGAGAGAGAGAGAGAGAGAGAGAGATGAGAGGAAATTTCAAATTTTGTATGCGTTGTATTTGAGATGAGATGATGATAGTGACGATTGATAGACACTTAATTATAGAAGAGATGAATTTTGTGTTTTATAGATATTGGAGTCACGTGGGAATAGCAAGAACCACCGCTTTCCCAAAAGTAACAGATAAGCTTTTCATATACATGCAAAGCTCAAAAGCTGAAAACTGCATTGTCCACAATCGCCGGCCACGGAAGAATGATATATCAAGATAATGAAAGATTTTTCTCAATTTTAAAAAAATATCTCTCCCCTGGTGATTTGAGGGCGGATGAGAATTATTACATGCTTTTGATCTCGCAACATCTTAAATTTTAATATAAATACATTATGTGTTATCTTGTTACTCCTTCCGTCCTAATCAGAGAGTTAGTTTCGGTTCAATATATAAGATTTATTTCACATGTTTATCAATTTTTTTCTAATTAATCATATTGATATTCTCCTAACAATAATCAAACAGGAAAGGGAGAAAGGAAATTAAGAAAAATATTTATTAGGGTGTTTTAATAAATATTCTTAATCTACTTAAATTAGTTAATTAGGTCTTACATTAAAGATAAGAGGAGTGTTTGTTGGAAAATTATTTTGGAGTTTCTCTTTATCTCTTAATTGCTGAAGGATTTAAAAACGGAACTTGTGCTTTTAATTTTTTTCAAATTTTTAAAATTAAATACATAAAATTTATTATTTGATATTATACTACATCTAGTTCTTAATACAAGAGTTACTTGATTTGGGTATATTAAAAGAAATTAATTTAGTTAGTTATTTATAAAAATATGAGTTGATTTCATTTAATCATGATTGCTTTTAAAAGAAAACTCCTTAATATATGTAATCATTAGAATACTTTAAATAATAAATTATAAATTTTAACTAATTAACCCTTATATTAAGTACAGATATAATTTAGTGGTAGGCAGTCAAAGGCAAAGCCCAAGAAAACAATGAGAACTGCTTTCACACCATAAATAGAGTCCAAGGTATAAAAGCGGGGACCAATAACGGATCGGGCTTGCTGACCGAAGGTAAGTTCCATTATTTTTTTTTTTCCTTTTTATGTCAAAAATCCAAGGTATGTCGGCTCAATTAGCCTCAGTTATGGAAATACGAAGATTAATGTGCTTTTCTTGAAATCTGAAGCTTCAGTATATTTTTAGAAAATTAAATCATGTTTTTGATGCTTTAACTAAAGAGGAACTGTCTACTTCTTTTAGTTTGGATCACTGTTTGGACTATTTTAAGAATTTGTGCTTGAAAATAGTTTAGGATTCAATCTCCTTTTACATTAATTTCTTTTTTTGTTTAGGCGTGTTGCCTTTTTTTCATTTGTATCAAAAAAAAAATTGTCTCATTGGTTATAGGAGAGGGCACATGAGTCATCCCACTTTTGGAAGAAAGAAAGAAAAGGAAAAAAAATATTCACAAACGCCACCAAAATTTTCAACTATCAATTTTCTAAGGGTTATTTTGGTCAAGACATTTTTTAAGAGGAAAAAGAACGATTCCTTCGACAGTAATTTGAAAGATTCGAGCTCCCTCTGTGAGTAGTTTCATTATGCGTTGCCTAGCCTGCTGCTGCTGATCCAACCACTTTTTATTTTTTTTCGGTAAAATTAGTTAACAAAATTTTTTGATCGGACAAAGAAATTTAACAAAATTTGGTTGCTTTTCTTTACTAGGCAAAATAATACCCCAGTTTATAGTTTAACTTAAATTACAAACTAGATCTTATATTAATATATTAAGAACCAGAGGTAATACTTAACAATATTTTGGGTACCTACTGATCAAATTAATAACAATGTTGCCAAACACTACATTTGTGTTCTCTCCTTGGACCTTGATGAATAATTCTTACTTCCATAGGAAAAATCTATTAGTGATAATTAAGCACAGTGCAGGTATAAGAAAAAGAGTTAATTAAGCACATGTAGTATGTAGTCAAAGAGAAAATTAGGTACTTTATTAGATATAAAATATTAATAATACTTTATCCCTTTCGTCAAATTAATTAATTTATTCTACGTTATTATAATTTTTGTTGATGATCGATTACTGATCGCAACCTCCAATTCAAATAATTCATTATTAATTTTAGCATTATCCAAACAGATCACAGTCGAAGATTTCAAATTAAAATTATTATGTGCCTAGCCATATAGCCTAGAATAAGACAGGCTTAAACAGAACCAATTAATGCTATATTATACTTTGTTGGTTCTATTTATAAGATACTTTCAGTGTGTTTCACACAAACTAAGAAAAACTTTAAACTTCATTAGTTCTCATTTAAAATTTAATAATTTTTCAACTTTATCCCTATTTAATATTTTTATATCTCATGTAAACAAAGTCAACAAAATAATAAATAAGGGGTAAACTTATATATCCATACAAAAATTTCTCTCAGTACCCTATAATATGACCAAAAAATATCTTCTCTCTCTGCACTATAAATAAGACCAGAGAAGTACATACACAAAAAAAGGTGTATAATGGACAGGCTAGACCAGACCAGAGTCCAATCTAAAGTCTAGTCTAATTTTTGATTGGGCTAGATTTGGTAGCCCATGGTCTGGTCCAGTCCAGTAGTGACTTGAGGTTGGGCTGGACTGGACTTAATTTAACAGATTACGTAGACTAATCCAAGTAATCTAGAACCTCAATTTTTTTTTTAAAAAAAAAATTTGTGTATGAAATCAAGATTTCATATTAGTAAACACAATTAGAACAATTAAAAAAACTATAATGATATAATAATCATCCCAAACATTAATACTTAATCATATATTCATAAGAATTTCTAACAATATTAAATAACAATAAAAATAACATTCTAAATTACTAAATTTTTTTTAAAAAAAATCACCTAGTCTAGACTGGAATAGTGTAGGTGGTCCAACTATTTAGTCTTGAATCTAGTTTAACCCGACCAATTAGATTAGTCCTGGTCTGTTTTTATCATATTGTTTATTTGGATTAAACTGAACTAAGCCGAACCACCTCAGGTTACACTGGACTAAAACGGATCACCGGTTTTTGCACACCTTTTTATACACACCTAAGAAATGAGTACAAGTAATTTTGCAGGTGGCTATCACCATATGATCACAATTGGACACCTAATGCTCCCATTAGTGCTAGATAATAATGATGCTCGTGATTCTGAGAAACCAGGTATATATGCTTTTTCTTGCAGACAATGATGTGCACTTAGCTCAATAATTCAATCGCGAGTAGAGGCATACGCAAACAACAGTTCATCCACTGAGAATTTTTGGGTACCAGATTATTCCAACATAGAGATTTGTGCAACTGACTTCCTGGGCTGAAACCTGAAAGAAAGAACCCACTTCAAATGTTTCATATCTTTGGACACCAACGTGGTCCTGAAGGGGTTGGGAATGTGTGAAAAAATATTATTTTATGTTTAGTACTTCCTACCATTAAGGAAGCAGATTCATAGAGGTTAGAAGTTTGTGGGTACGAATATAGCATGCATTGTATTACGTTCGCGAGTCATATGATTAAGATGTATAGTTGTAATCAGAATAAAAGCAGCATGATTCTATCGTGTGATAATAACAATAACAACAAGTCTTATTTTATCAGCTAAAAATAATACTACCATAGTACCAGTAAGAGATGAAAATCATCTCCGCAACAACCATCAATTCATAAAAACAGAAAAATAGCACGCTTTTCCTCCTAATTATCTTTCCCAAGCAAAAATCTATAAAGACATAATGAACACCCCTATCTCCGGCCTTAAAAAATATCATAATCACTCTACCGGCTTAGCAAAAGCATCATAGTTAATTAGTTTTTTTTTTTTTCCTTTCTTTCGACTCATTTTTTTTCTCTCACTACAATATGGTAAGTACTGAATAAAACTAGGATCGCCGGATATGAGAGCTAGAAATGGAAGCCGCAACATCAGCAGTAGTTGCAGCTGCTTCATCTGTTGAAGAACATATGCAGGAACAATAAAACAATCAAAGCCTTATAATTCATGAGAGTTACATATAGTTTAATAGCAATGTGCTATCTCCTGTTCTAAATTTAAGATCTAGTTTGTAGTTTAAGAAATGATTTCTACTTTGCCACTTCATCTTTCTTTTCTTTTACTGACTTCTCAATAGTGGTTTTCTATAAGCAAACACAAAACATCCATCTTTGTGCTTTACAGTTTTTGACTACATTTATACTGGTGGATCAAAGAAAACTTTAACCTTTAAGGGTGAAGGTCGAGGAAGAAGAACAACCTAATGGAATTAATTGATGGTTGTTGGGGATATGCTTTCAATTTATGACTAGTACTGTTGTAGTATGTGTTGCTTTCTTTCTGACATTTGACTGCAACTAGATACCTTAAATGACAGGCCAAACATGGCCTTAATAATTGTGATGCTAAGCAGCGAAAATTCTTTACTTGATCAGTCCCTTATGCAGGTCGAGTAATTCATTGTTCTTGCACATGTAGGTTAAGTAAATATATATAATGTCCTAAATGTATCGCTCTGCAAAGCAATATGCCGAAAAAGCTTACATAATTATAACTTATGCAGAACAATGTTTATTGGCCAATTTACTATTTCTCGTTATTTATCATGCCTATTAATGTGGTGAAGAATTACATACAATCTAATGTTCCTGTATATATCATGTAGAAGAGCAATGTCAAAGAAACAGGACATTTATACGAACTTGTTAACATATGCATATATTATTCTGAATATAACGTATGGCTTCTAACTTAATAGCTAATGTCTGTTTCACCATTTGAGTTGAATTTCTGGGAAAGATTAGGAAACAAGAATCTCTCTCGTGCTTAACTATAAGCAAATGATTCTCAGACATTCTCAATTGTCACCTAATCTCAACATTGCAAAAACAAAGGCCTCCAAAAACTGCAATTTATGGCTTCCAGAGCTGAAATTTAAACCTGTTCGTCATTTCATACATAAACACTTGCGGCAACTGATATTAGTCAATCAAAAACAATGCAAGAACACTACATACAGCAGCACAAAGTTGCTTGCAAAATTTTAAGAGAGTTTAATTGATAATCATCTGCGCCATCTGGTTTTTGTATAAAGTATAAAATTCACCTGCAAGATAGAAACTGAGTAGAAAAAGAAGTCCTTTAATTTATCTGGCCTCTAACTCAGTAAGGGATGTTTCATTGATTGAAGAAGTCACAATAGTTGAACTTTCTCCCATAATTGAAGTCTTGTTTAAAAGGAATTCAGGTTCTTTAGGTTGAGGCAAGGTGACTTCACTACTCAACATCACAACCACAGAAGCCATATCTGGCCTATCTCCAGGATGATGTTGTACACAAAGAAGGCCAATATGGATGCATCGCAATACTTCTGATGCAATACAAAAAATTCCCTCAAATTTGCATCAATCAACTTTAGTGGGATGCCATCTTTCCACAACCACCATGCCTGCAACAACTCAAAATCTTTAAATTTCTAGTTTATTCAAGTTAAACATGAGGTTAGGTTATTAATTACTCACATGTCCAATGAGATTAAGACTCTGGTTTGGGTGGGAGAGCCCTCTATTTTTCATTCCACTCACTATTTCCAATAGTAATATTCCAAAACTAAATACGTCAGATTTGGTAGAGAATAAACCATCAATAGCATATTCGGGTGCCATATAACCACTGAAAGAAATCACAAATTTGTGGTCATCAAGTTTAATAAAAGTAGGAATATCAAAAGTGATCACAGTATAAAGGAATACTCACTATGTTCCAATCACTCTATTTGTATTCTCTTCAACTTGATCTCCTCCAAAGATTCTTGCTAAGCCAAAATCCGATATTTTTGGATTCAATTCATTGTCTAATAATATATTACTAGCTTTAATATCCCAATGAATAATCTTCAATCTGGAATCTTGATGAAGATACATAGGCCCACGAGCAATTCCACATATAATATGAAAGCGCTTGGACCAATCTAATAGTTTACTTTGAGTAATAGAACCTGTAAAGTTAATTTGACAGTCAACTTTATGTGAGGCACATATAATGAAACCATAAATATGATAACAAATGCTTTTACAGTGACACAAACCAAAAATTAATGAATCTAAGCTCTTATTGGGCATGTATTCATATATGAGCATTTTCTCTCCTCCTTGGATGCAACCAAGAACCTTAACGAGATTTCGGTGTTGAAGTTTGGCACACAATAAACTTCATTCTGAAATTCTTTAATTCCTTGATTAGAACTCTGTGAAAGTCGCTTGACAGCAATCTCTTGCCCATTAGGCAAGATACCCTGAAAATTTACATTGTTTGGATGATTGTCAAACTAGCTAGGATATCATTTTTCAGAACAATACTGCATGCTTTCTTGCAATTAACTAACTTGTTATTTCTTTCTCCTTTTTTTCCTGAATTGTTATTATATTTTTTGGTTGCATGTTTACCTTGTACACAGGTCCAAAACCACCTTGGCCAAGCTTGTTGTCAATGGAGAAGTTATTAGTAACACTAACTATTACAGCAAAGTCAAAGAAAGGAAGCTCTATGTCTCCTTCAGGGCCATCAACATGATTTCCTGCTAACAAATGTTTTCTCCTTTTTTGGCTCCACAAAATAAGATAAGGGGAGAAAAAAGTAAAGGCAACGGAGTGAGAGTGTTTACCTTTAAACTTGGTTCTGCTGTTGTAAATATAGAAGGAAGCAAAAGAAAACACCACAGCCATTAAAATAGTACTTGTCATAACAATCACCATGATCTTGTTTCTGTCTACATCTTCCTGTTCAGCTTCAGAACGAAATGAACTTGCAATTAGTATAGACAAAAAATGAGGTTCCCTGAAATAGTTCAAATTATTATTGATAAAAGGTTATACCTGTTTCTGGAGCAGCAAGGCGAATATAAATAACTTGATCAGGATCCGAAATACGTTTCATGTCAATTAGATCTCCAAACCAGATGGCACACCCACTACCTCCTCCGCTGATATCGGAATTAGCATAAGCTGTACAAGAACAATTTTCCAGCATTTGGCTTTGCACTCTTCAAGTGTCATACTTGCGTTAACCCAAGAATGTGTTGTGTCTGGCAATTTCAACCCACTAAATTTGAGAAAATTGTCTCTTTTTTTAACCTTACAACTCCATGATTCACTACGAATACATCCTTGGGTCCAATCCATTACTTCCCAATTTCTTGGTGATTTTGGCTTGAACCCTTTCAAGCACTGACAGACTGGCGTCTCATCAATGATGCAATTTCCGTATGGACCACAACGATTATATCTATCACAGCTATCCATTGGCAGATAAACGAAAGTGCTCCAACTTTTTTCATTTTCAATCCATATATAGGTCTCAACTGAATATGTCGTCTGGTTCAAGACCCGCCTTAAAATCAGTGAATCATTTCTAGGAGCATATGTGAAATACACCTCATCCTTGTTAGAGACAAACTTCAAATCATCAATCCAATTTTTCTTCGTTCTAGGGGCACCACTAAATCCAAGACCATTCCAAGGGCCAATTCTAAAATACTCTTTTTGACCCCACCAATAAACTATTTCAGGATAATTGTGAACTACAAGCTCTGCTGTGAAATCTCCAAGTGAGGGGTCATCCCAACTCTTCCATGCAGTGAAACGTCGATTAAGACCAGTTTTCACATCCCAACCTAACTTCATTCCTGGTAAAAGAGTATCAGAAGGATAGTCAAAGCTTTGCCACAAGTAGTTTTGGGCACTCTGGTCTTTCTCATTTCTTATTACTAAGTTTCCTGAGTCTAAAAGCTGTACAATTGGACTCAAGGCCTTTCTTGTTGAATTTGCCAACCAAATAATATTTTCATTTTGGCTAAGAAGCACAAGGTTTCCCTGTGTGTTTAAGCTCAACATTCCTGAATTGTCTCTGATTGGTTTTTCTCGATTGGCTACCCAAACAATAGTTCTACGACGGATTCTTTTGAACCAAATTCCAACATAACGGTTTGTGGAACTACCTGGACTGAAGAAACCCAATTCAAAGATTCCGTCTTTAGACGTCAAAGTGGTTGTTCCATCATCAGGAAGTGGCTGAGAACGTGTAATGATGTCAGTTGCAGAGACCAATACAGAGATTGATAGAAGCATATTGGCAAGAACAAGCATAGAAGGAAGGATGGCCATTGCTTTAATGAATGTGATGGCAAATTAAACAAATATATTCACATGATGCAGAAGCAATAAGAACTAACAATGACAGACGAAGCACGTTGGTTGCCCCGACCCCATGTGTCTCACGCAAGAATCTCTTAAATGTCATAGTAAGAAATGGTCTTTTCTTAGGATAATTTCAGGACCATCACATATGCTTCCAGTTCGGGGACCACCTCAGCTGAACAAACCCAGTTAAAAGCAAAGCTTCCATCTTTATAAACCTAGCTTACTTTCGGTGCCAATTGCATTAGAGAGAGAGAGGGAAATA